AAAAAAGGATCGATTACAATCTAACCCTTATTCAGATTTTATCGTAGAGACTCAAAAAGGGTAAAATGTGTTAATAATCATCATAAAATGTATCTATCTGTGTAACGATTTAACGCCACTTCGTACACTCAACAAGTATTTATATACAGATCCGATATAAAAGCGACTCTAAATAATCGAAAATAAATCCTGAATTGTCAAATGTTCGTCTGATAACGCTTCTGCTTTGATATAAAAAAATATTTGGGTACAAGGAAGCCAAACTTGGGATAAGAAGGACAACTGCGGCGTACATGGCGGTAGGCTAAAACAGGATGGATAGTAATCGATAAACTCGGTATTCCATAAAGGGAGATGTTCATATTAGAAACATATTGGTGTGACAGAAACAAAAATGGTTGGCATGAGAACAACTTTTGCGTAGACGCTACCGTGGCGCGGACCCAAATGACTGTTATTGAACACTAATGCATATACATTTATAAGATTAAAATGTCGGTGTTTTATACTTCATGATATTATATACCCACTTATCGGCGTGTTATTTCATTTTGATCCGCATTATTTATAGATCGCTAATCCCAGCTTATTACATAAATTATTATATCAATTAACAGATCTGCTATAAATCCTCCCCCTTTTTTTAATAAAGCTGTATGAAATGCACACCGTTATTGCTTTAACAAGCCGAGCTGCTTTTCTCAATTCAGAAAACTGAGCAAGTGCAAAAGCCTTCCTTCGACCTTATGGCTAGTAAATAAGACCAATTACGTTTCGTAATTACCGATTAATTTATGGCGTGCGAAAACATATAAGAGATCGCTATCGGATACCCACTTCTTTAAATTCGGTGTCCTTAAAATTACCTGCACGAAAATCAATTAAGGGTTAACAACTTTTATCTTTGCTTTGTGCCCATGAAATAATTTCATAGCAGTTTAAATTCATTTAGTTTGCTTATTAGAAAGGGTCATGCGGTTTTAGTATTGATCGCAACCATCGCCGTATAAATTTAGAATAAAGAAATTCGAAACTTTTCAAACTTAATTTAAATAGATTAGATTAAAGAAGTTATATTTTACAACCCCATTTTTGCGACAATTAAGTGGCGCTGTAAATTTTTTAACAACCGTTTTGTACTTCTTATCTACCTATACCTAAATGTAGTCTCGCTCTTTAAGTAATTTCACGTAGGTACGAAATGGGTTTTTATCAAACATTTCATATTTCGGTTGCGTACCGTCTTATACACTATTGAGCGATTTATTTTGTAAAATGACTCAGATTATGGCGGGTTTTCAGTATGAAAGCCGGTTAGAGTTGAATAAATTGGGCCTCAAACTAAACCCTCTATCAAAAATGAAGTTGAAACGAGCGATACTATCTGAATTGATTTGTAGCAATGCTTTAGCGATAGCTTTTTACTCCCTTCGTTATGAGTGTAAGAAGAAATATAAAAAGGGAAACAATCTGTTAAATTGGAGAATCTCAGAAAAAGGGGATTTATTTTTCGCGATAATCACTTACATCAGCTAATTCATTTTAATAAAACGGATTCCATTTTGAATTTCGTTTACAAGATCCTAGAATGAACATCTTTAATGAACTTATATCTTTTTTTTATTTATATTTTTTATACCGGGTGATTCATTAGAACTTATGACACTTTGAATTTCTCGCAAAACAAAAAATTTCAAAGGTTGGTAATAATTAATTATCATTTGTGTTCCACTGGTGTATGTAGAATCACTCTTCAAGGGTAATAATTTATTTTTAATTTACAAATAAGTTTCCCATTTTACAAACAATTTTACATTTGCACTGAGTACAGTTACGACATTAAGATGGCATTAAATACACTATAAAAATTGCTCAAAATGTCCACCATTGGGTTCACGGCACAATTCCACTCTACGCTTCGCTTCATATTGTCAAACACTTTTTCCAGAGTTTCAGGTGAAATTATTTCAAGGTCCTCAATAATTGCTCTTCATAGCTCATCAAGAGTATGGAGACGGTGTCGAAAAACGGTGTTTTTTAATGTGGGTTTCAAGTTTAGATTGACAATGATGTACGCTATATTATTATTTATTATTATTAGTTTCCTAAATAAATAAACTAAACACACACGAGTGATACCAGAAATAATGTCTAATAATAATAATCTTTACATTTGTATATTGGAAATGCATTATTCGGAACCATGAAAAATAAAATTTTGTATGCACCTCAGGCATTACTCGATATTTAACCCTCGGGCGATTTACAATCGCTCTGGCCGGAATCCCTCGGGCTCTGTCGCCTTCGGTATAAATATCGCCTTAATGCCCTTGATGCATAAATAACTATTCTTATTGGCTGTATAAAATGTAGAAATGATAATGATGATAATAATTATAGAAAATGATTACATAAGTACCAAAGAAATCAGCAACAAAGATTCACAACTACATTGTACGGAATTTTAACAATAATTAATTGTTCCATAAAAATAGATTGGCGCGCTAGAATATATTGTCCTTGACCAGTAACGATTGTTTCATTTCTGCGACGAAATGCATTTATTCAATGTTAAAAGGTTTTGACTGCTTTCTTTGATTATCGATCCTTCTTCTTTAGCGTGAACACAACTGACGCATTTACGCAATATACTTTTTGGTATTTGTTTATTCTACGGTAGAAACAAAATCCTCGAATTCACCATTTGGTTTTATGATGCCCGTAAAATGTTACGTTCACTCTGGCCAAGCTCGAAGGAAATTTATCACAGCAACCGAATTTCTTCTGAAGTAAATGAGCAACGAGTCCTTTTCGCGACTTGACCCGTAACAATCAAAACTGTGAACTTGAACCTCGCAGTCTAAGAGGCTAAGAATCGAGTGGCTTACACCTTTTTCTACAGATCAGTACCCCATATTCTTTATTAAATAATTAAAACCTCTCTTTTACTATGGCGTGCAGAAATTAGAGTGAACCAGTTTTCCTTAGACCAAATTTGATTGAAAATTCTACCAAAATTCAACCCTCCAAATGTGACACCCTACGGACAAGTCTATGATATGTATTGGTTAAATGGTCCGAACCTAAAAGATCTATAAATTCTATACAAATCGAAAAAAACAAATTTAAGAGTACCGTTACGCACTCGGTAATTTTGCCAAACGGGGTCATATTTATACGGCTCATACCGTATTTACCGGTTTAATATACAGAGCGGTCCATATGGTTACGTAATCAACGTTATTTCAGTCTGAACACCGAAAATTATGACGGGAGATTCCGTATATGAGAAACTCTTCAATTTTTTAAAGTAAATAGGGGGGATAATTTACGAATACGCACAGAATTGGTTTAGTTCAGTTGAGTTTGTTTCTATAGTGTTATTTTTCCTTATGCTGTTTATTTAATTGAAAAATATTAAATTGCGTGTTAAAATATGGGCACATCTGGTCATTTGCGATAAGTATTTTCATATCAGATTAGTTTCAACGAAAATGCACATCTAGCACTGATCAAACAATGTGCGTTATCTACTTCAATTATAATTGGCGCTTTATCCGTAAAATACCAGAAGGAGATTATTGTTTGATGTAGGTGGTGTTCTGTTAAATACTGCAGACAACGAAAAAACTAGGCTGCTATTGCTAGGTGGTTCAAGACGGTTGTAAAAGAGTGTGCAGTATACATATGTCTTTGCGCTATTTATTTGGAAGCCAGTCAGCCCGATGTGGTGAGGTGTAGGGGCCTTTTGAAGCGGGAATTTTCGTTGTTCATTTCTACATTATCCTAATGTTGAATAACGTTGCATTGAATGGTTCA